TACAGGGAAGAGTTTGAGTTTAATTCCTTTCTATTTTTGACTTCCTCTATCGCTTTCTCTTCTTTACCTGCTCTACCCTGGAATCGTGTATCTCGTCAAGCTCTTTCGAGGGTTACGAGAATTCCTCATGCGAGGTACACGCGGAAAGGTCGTTTCTATTTTCTACTTTTCAATAGTTTACGTGACCCTCCTTGAAACTATCGTCGCCAGCCATTGTAATAAGAAGCTAATACGCACAAAAACTCGGGTTAGCTCGAGTGAGAGAGAGAGAGAGAGCCGTAGCAATAACACCAGCGCTACGCAGTTAGCCAGTGCTTCGCATTTCGGGAATTTCCCTTGGTAACTGCGTAGAAACGGGAAAATCGTAATAACTCTTTTGTTAGAAACCTCTTGCTCACTCTGTTGCACAAAGCGTCAGCCGGTCCAACAAGGATCATCGCTACCTGATTGTAATAATAGTATGAGAGAGTGGAAGGATGAAACAAATTTAAACAATGAAAGTAAGAATTGAGAACCCTTACGAAAGCGAACGTCGCGAACGTTCGACCGCCGTTCGAAAATCAAGGGTCGTTCGAAGCAATAAACACTATTGTATCGGAATTCTAAGAACTGCCTAGCGATAACGGCAAATTTTGAACAAAGGAACGTTCTCGAAGGAACGTTCGCCAGATCTAGAATTGTTCAAAATTTATAAAATGCGAAATGCCGAATATATCGAGGCGATAGTTTTAATGCGCGATAGATTGCATAATTCGCCACGGCGTTACAACCACCGTAAGCGCAACATCCGCTGTTAAACATATAAAAGCATACTGTTTTATTGCAAATCGGGGATGAATAATTTCGATCACGATATACGAATGACGGTTTCCTATCAAACCCGATATTTCAATTTTAATCTATATTTCAATATCAAATCTCAAATTGCATTCCAATTAAACTAATAGTTACATCTCGAATAAATGCCGTTAATTAATTATATGTATAACGAGAAATACTGCGTAGTTTCTGAAAACCGTTGAAACTATCATGGCGACGAATGAGAAAAGGAAGGAACACCAAAGAAGGGGATGAAAGATCTTCATCTAGCTCGCGCGTCTTAGCCAATCACCGGGCACGCGACACTTCCGAAAACGGGCTACGATTCGCCAAACCGTCCCCTCCAAGGACGATGTTCGCGCGACGGGCCCTTCGGCCGTCGATCGCGCACGAAATTTGTCACTCTTGATCGATCAATAACGTAAGTACGTGATCGGGAGCCCGTGTGTCCGAGAGACAGAGTTATTCGGAAATTCGCGATATTTTCTCTGCGGTAAAGTCCTCCGCGTAGCGAGGCAGAGTGCCGTGCGAGTTAAAATAATCGGTATTCTGAATAAGGACTCATAGACGCGCACGAAAAATCTTCCTTCTACCTAAATTTCTATCTTTTCTTTCCGATTTTAAATCGTTTGCTCGCGTAGTTTCTCGTATTAACTTCACCCCGCGTAATTATATTCGTTGTAATCGTAATTAATCGTAAATCGTTATTCGTTTGTCTCTCGTCGACGTACTCGTCCGTAATAATCCGTTTCTCGCCGCGACAAGTGCAGTGATCGACGATCTTACCGTTTCTTTGGTGTTCCAGATCATCGAGCGATTACACCAAAACTAGCAAGCGAATTACCTTGTATTTTATTGTACACCTTAACGGTAAGTCGTTTCAGTTACATTTTTCGATCACGACGTTTATTCAATTGGCAAAACGGGCGATCTGGTCCAGCCCTTCAGGGTTACGAGAATTCCTCAGGTCAGATCGTTCCACCGTACGAGGTATTCATATCATCCAATATTAAATACTATTTTCGGTTATTACAATTTCGCAATTCCAGTTTCTTTCCATCATCCGAAGGGCACCTTAGTCCAGCTCCTTCGGGAGTTCCGAGAATTTCTCAGGCTGGGGTGTACCGCAGGCGGAAACCGCCAATCGTATAGTTAACTTCGGAGAGCGAAATTGTTATAATCATTTTTACGCGCCCGGTAATATACTCGTCGGTTTCAAATGTGATATCAGAGTGTTTTATATTCATATATATATATATATACCTTGTTAACTAATCTTAAGCATCTTTACATTTGTTCACATTTTTGCAGAACTGGTAATTTTCAATTTAACCAAATTTCTAAATTATTGAACTCATAATTTTGGCAATTATCTGATTTTCATTCACGATTAAACCAGTTTCATTTAGTTAAACAGTTTCCTTTATTTCGAACACACCTCACACGTTTCAGTTAAGACACGCCTACCAACATACTCAGATTCAAGGAGGGTCCCGTACGGGACCAAGCGTTGAACGAACCCAACGAAAGGCTAATAATTATAACCTTTTAATATCTTATCAATTTTGTCTTTCGTCTTTTAATTTGTCGAGAGCGTTAACACGCTCGAGACTGGTGGCAGCGATACCAACCATCGCGCTAAAATAGGGAAGCAGGAATTAGGGGTTGAATTCCAACCAATTAATTGAAATTTAACTACCTATAAATCCACTAATATTCTTTCCTTTTTACGTTGCGCGCCGTCGCTCGGGCGCAACGTAACAATCTTTAATGGTACAAAAAATATCTATGGTATAATTTAAATGGTATCGGAGAAGGAATATCGTAGCAGACAAATTTTTTTGTCCGATTATTTTTCATAGTTTTTTCAAGGTCATCGTTATTTTTGATCAGGGAAACTTCTATTTTTTTAACCGACTTCGAAAAGGGGGAGGTTACTCAATTCGATCAGTATGTTTTTTTTTTTTTTGTGTGTTCACCGATTACTCCGAGATGGATGGACCAATCGGAACGAAATCTTTTGCATCTTGTAGAGTATGTCTCCCGATTGGTCCCATTGAAAAAAAATGTTCTATTTTTTCATTGTTATTGCAAAATACAGGAAGTTTTTAATCTCAAGATTGGACGATTTCAATGACCTTTTAATATGTTGTCGGGGACATGATTTTGAACAACTTTTTCATTATGCATAATTAACGGAAAGTTTTAGTTTCCGAGATATTCGTGAAAAACTATTGTTACTACTTCATTGAATTCTACGTATGCCTACATATCTTTACCGGTGTATGAGTCTGCATGCAGTCGCCGATTCTCTACTGTTTCTTATATACATGTGTACTCTCTGCAAGGCATACACCGATTGCGATGAAGCCTTTCACATCTAATAGGAGATATTTCCGCGATATCTCACTTGCAAAAATTTATGCAATTTGTTATTGTTAATAACTATTGTTATAACTTGTATGGAACTTGTTATCGTTAAAAACTATCGTTCTTGCAATTAACCAATAAGAACAGTAAACCACCTTACAGCATCCTACAAATATTGCTCGTTCCACTAAAAAGTGTGAAATAAAATAATTTTTAACAAAAAATACAACCGACTTCGAAAAGTATGAAATAATTTCTACTTCATTTATACAAATACCCAACAGCTATTAATAAAACCTATTTACTCGTTAAATAGTATACTAAATACATTTCAACCTTTTCGGAGGCGGCGCAAAATTAAAAACTTTTCTTCTACTAAGAAGATTCTAGTTCAGACGTCGGCAACCTATCAAATCATTATTGGCAGCATCGTATATTCGGATATTTTTAATTTTGCGCCGCCTCCGAAAAGATTGAAATGTATTTAGTATACTATTTAACGAGTAAATAGGTTTTATTAATAGCTGTTGGGTATTTGTATAAATGAAGTAGAAATTATTTCATACTTTTCGAAGTCGGTTGTATTTTTTGTTAAAAATTATTTTATCTATATTCCATCTTGAGGCGGCTGAAAAAATACATTTGAATATGCTTAAGTTATGATCTGGAGTCTTATAACATTATATGTTGAGAATTATAACATTGAATGATAAACAGGAAGTTCAAATGTGATTCTAATATTACCCTACAAGTTTATCATATTTTTGGTACTCAAGATCACCCTTCAGGTCATAACTTAAGCATATTCAAATGTATGTTTTCAGCCGCCTCAAGATGGAATATAGAAAAATAGAAGTTTTCCTGATAAAAAATAACGATAACCTTGAAAAAACTATGAAACATAATCGGACAACGAAATTTATCCTCTACGGTATTCTTCCACCGATACCATTTAAATTAAACCAGAGATATTTTTTGTATCATTAAAAATAAAGGAAATATTTAGGTGGCCTCCTTTAGCTGTGACACCCTGTATAACACAATTCATTTTTGTGTACTAGCTGACGCATTATTATTAGTAATAATCCAACACCTTCCCAAAATATACAGATTCGTAACTAACAATAAGTTCATGTACAAGTTAATTTAACAGTTTTATTTTTTATACCTGAAAAAAATCGGCGCTACAGGTTTAAGGAATTGTATGCCACAAAATCTATAATCGTTAAATTGTAATTAGTGTACGAGTGTAATAAATAAAAATGTAAAAGTTGGGGATGCATTGGTTATGCGTTAGTGTATATTGTTGTCATATGAATTCGGGATAACTTTTTATTTTTTAATACTGAATATAATACGGAATAGATTTAATACTCTGAAGATGTTGCCGTTGGTGATTTAATTTATTACGATGAACACGGTATTTTACAACGACCGGACAAATATCGGCATGTTCGGAATTTTGCTCAAAGGCAAACTGTATATGTAGCTACGAACAAAGAACAGCACCAACGTAGCTGCGCAACATTCGTTTCAGACATTTTGCCGAATACTTAGGATCTACTTTGTATTAGAAAATCTCGGCTCCCTGCAGCTACGACAATTTTATCAAAAATTAGAAGTTAGTTACATATTATTTTTTCAATACTTTTTACTTAAGACGTGTAAATACCTTCGAACTAAATTCCAAATTGAGTGTATTATAGTATACATTCAGGATTTCACTTTCATGGTAAAAATATCTTTTTGAACCTAATTTTATGATTCTTTTTGAAAGGTGGAAGTTATAGTTTATAATGATATGGGTACAGTATATTTGAAGTTTTAATAAAATGATCACGAAAGTGTTCTTCGATTTAAAAAAAATGGGGCCCTGAAAAGGGCCGATTGTTGTGTAAAAGGTGGAGCGCCTTAAAACTTAAGCTCTTTCTCCACGAATACGACGAGCGAGTTGGATGTCCTTTGGCATGATTGTAACTCGTTTGGCATGAATAGCACACAAGTTGGTATCCTCGAAAAGTCCAACGAGGTAAGCTTCGCTGGCTTCTTGCAAAGCCATCACAGCAGAACTTTGGAAACGAAGATCGGTTTTGAAGTCTTGAGCTATTTCACGTACGAGACGTTGGAAAGGTAATTTACGGATTAAGAGTTCCGTACTTTTTTGGTATCTTCGAATTTCTCTGAGAGCTACAGTTCCAGGCCTATAGCGATGAGGTTTCTTCACTCCTCCCGTTGCAGGCGCACTTTTACGAGCAGCTTTGGTAGCCAACTGTTTCCGTGGAGCCTTTCCACCGGTAGATTTACGAGCAGTTTGTTTAGTACGAGCCATGTCGTTAAGAATAAAGTATGATTCAGTCAAACTCCGAAACTACAGTGACGCAACGGTCCTTTTGCTTCTCTTATATACTTGTAGAGCAGAGTCCCCTCTGCTCTGATTGGTTAAACTACGTGTGGTGGGGAGAGCTCAGTAGCGCTTGACGACAGGGTTACTGCTGGACATGACGCGATGAAGGGAAAAGGACAGCTGCATAGTTTTACTCTGGAGAAATATCACGTTGATTCTGTTAATTTGACGAAACAATGTGTATTAGTCAAAATGAGCAGTCCTGGAAAGGGAGGAAATAGATTGGGAAAAAGAGGGGCAAAGCGTCATAGGAAGGTTCTTCGTGATAACATTTAGGGTATCACGAAGCCAGTTATCCGTCCAGTTATCCGCCATGGCGGTGTTCTCAAAGTTTTCCTTGAAAACGTTATTCGTGATGCCGTTACTTACACTGAACATGCAAAAAGGAAGAATGTTACTGCCATGAATGTGGTTTATGCTTTTAAACGTCAGGGTAGAACCCTTTATGGTTTTAGTGGCTAAATTGTTATCACTGCGATTAAGTTCTTACTTAAAAATGGCGCATTTTAGGGCCATCAAAAAATTTAAACATGAAATTTCTATCATTTCAACTTATCTATTAATTATTATCAAATACACATTATTTTGATACTATTGATAACTTGCAATAATACTTTACTCGACACAAAAAGAATGCCAATAGAAGTAACAGTGTATATTATAATAATATGAACATTTGGTAACAGTATTTTTGTTTCGTAGCTAGAGTAACAGCCCGATAAATTCCTATTAGTTGCGCCTTGTGTTTGCATATATTATATACAGGGTGTTCAGGCTAAAGTGTAACAGACCCGTTATTCCGTAACTATTAATGATACAAAAAATTGTTGACATGGAAATTACACGTTAAAATAGGAACTATGTTTTGGCCGAAATAAAAAATATTTTGCATTATTAGTTTAAGAGATAGTCAAGTTTTGTTTTTTAAGTGGAACTATTTTCAGATCATGTGATAGTGCTTTTCAAGATATAACGGTTACAAATTTACCGATTTTCAGCGGCGATGTCTCGGTTCGAGCAGCAAGTCGCAAAAGTAGCCCTATTGTAGCGGTAAGTGCCCTATGTGTGGAGAATGGTATCTTACCGCAATAATAAAGCCGCTTTTACGACTTGCTACTCGGAGATACCATCCTCCACACCATAAGACGCTTACAATACTGAATACAATAATTACTTAAAAACCTTCAGTGCATATACAGTTAACCAAAGTATTAATCATTCTTAGGCGAACACTTAAAAAATGTTAGTACATTACAGTTTAGAAATTGAAAGCAAAATTTATTTTAGGATGAAGAAAATTAATATATGGCACTTACTTACTCATTAATTTCATGCTGTATATAATTCCCTGTTAGAAACGCTGTCAGTCCACACGCATTATTCACAGCCATGGATACACTCCCTTCCTTTGTCCAGATAGCCAACTATGTATAGCTGATTCATATAAACAAATGAATAGTCAATAAATGTTTAGCTACTATAGGTGTGCAAGTACTCGTAATTTACAAGCCGAGCTGAACTCGCTTCGATTGTTCGAGCCGAGTCGAGCGCTTGATTTTGCCGAATTACTCAAAATCGACGAACTGTTTGAAACAAAAGCGAGTTACTCGAAACAATTGAACTACTTGAATGTTCGAGCCGTCGTAAAACTTCGATTTATTTGAAGATGAATTTTCAGCTCGAATATTCGAGTAGTTCGATTTTTTCGAGCAGCTCGCTTTTGTTTCAAGCAGTTCGTCGATTTCGAGTAGCTCGGCAAATTCAAACTCTCGACTCGGCTCGAATAAATCGAGTACTCGCACACCTCTATTAGCTACAGCACACAACAGCCAATCAAATGAACAAGTAAATACCGAATGAATGAGTATCTGTGTCACATATGTGTGTAAACAAATGAGTTGTGAAGAACGTAGAATGTTATTTATGGTCCATATTCCCTGCTTCGTAGTTAGAAAGATTTACCTATAGAAACCTGAAAGTAGGAAATTATCAAAACAGGAACTGTAATTATTTTAGTATGTAAATAAACAAAATAGTGAAAACAAACTTAATTTTTACAAGACAAATCCTCAAGTATTTCTTCAAACTAAAATAAAATACTCTGCTTCAAAGCTTTTAAATTCCAACCGACATGTTCTCTTGTTGTTGGTCAAAGTTAAGGCCTATATCATGATTAATATTGTATTCCATTTATAATTATTCGTACGATACACTCATTTGGCTTCATCACTGTATAATATCACAATATCGAAACAACATCGTCAAGTCATCAATAACTTTCTACAATCCAGTTAAGTATATGTCCAAAATCATTGATTTAATTTTTCTCTATAAATATTTAGTTAACTAATCTTTTACATTGTTTAGTTCTGTTTTATACAATATTTATGGTACATCATCTGTATTCAACGTTGAAGCATTTGATAACATAAATGGCAGGCATAGCTTATGACGCTCAAAGTACCTGTGGTGGTATTATTGTTACGTCCCGACAAAGGAAATTCCATTCTCTCCAATTTCAAGTTGTAAAAGCGTTAGCAATCAGGAAATCGGTTCATTGACTGACCTCCTTAGAGTCACCAGCGTCAACAAATTCTCTCTTCTTCTCGAAACGCTGCGTCAAAAATTATGTGCAACGCATAGACATTCCAACAGGTCAGTATACTACTGAACTCTTTCCTTAATCATGCGAAATCAGCATTTTCGGCCTTCATAAAAACCCAGTTACGGACAATAGCCATACAGACGGCCATACAGTCGCGAGGTGCGCGGTCTTTCTGTCCGAGAAACATCTAGTATTGCAGAATACGTCGAGCAGAGTTTCGTGAGAATCAAGTGTCACGCGAAAAGACTCAGTTTTCTCGTTAATAAGACTCAAGTTTTCAAATCATTTGTAATTAAAACTGTTAATGTAAAATATTTAGATTTATTGTTAGTGTAGAGTCATAGTTTCATCTTGTCAAGAACATTGTATCATCATCCGTGCGTCGAGAGAAGAGAGAGAGAAAGGAGCGAAGGATCGAACTCGTTAACCGTTTCTGTTCATCTAAATATCCGGTGAGTGCGATTAAGAAAACTGGATACTCTGTCCTCAGTAATTAAGGAAAATTGTAATATCTTTTGAATGCCCATTATATTTTCATACTTCGTTTCTTTTGGCAAAATATATAATAGTTATTTATTCAATCCCGATAATTATTTAGTGCGTATTTCCCAAACCTTGTGTCCAACGAGCGAGAGGCTTGTATAAGTCTAGACCGAATCCGAATCCTATAATATCTTACCTTCACAAAGAAGGTGTTTAAGCGTTGCGTCGGATCATATCAATCCGCAGACTAGTCACCTACCACTACGCCTGCTCCGCACGTAACATTATATTTCACAATTAAATGTCATATTTTATCAGCAACAAGTAGGCTTCTGAACAGTATTAATCTTTAAATTAGATAAAATTGAAATTGCATTATGTATAACAGTGTACAAGGACTTTTATAAAACTGAAATATCATTTCAAAGCATCGAAGTATGGTGATCCAGAACTTCTCGAACAGAGTGTGCGATATTCTAAATTAATGCGAGATAAGTTGTTAAATAAATCCACTTCTATATTCTCGTCTACATTGTCGTTCATAATTGAGAACTATTAATCAGATTAATGGTATTATATAAATGACTGTAATGTCAACCATTTGCGTCGCATCTTCTTGATGATTGTATTTCTTTCCGCATAAAATTCTTGGAATTTCTGATAATATCTAAACTCCATTAACAACTGATGTACATAAATTGATAGGTTTAATATTAGGACATTTATTCTAACAAGAGAAATCGTTTTGGATTAAATATTCTCCTTTTTTTACTTAATTTTCCAGATTGGTGTAGTCCTAAATAAGAACAACGGTGAGATTATGTCACTTCAGTCGAATATAATAGCTGAAAATCGAGGTAAATTTGTCATTTAACGACACCGTTGAACACTACTGACAATAACTGAAACTTTACATGTCTAATATGTGCTTTGAATCGAACAAATAATTGCATAAATCATAAATCTTTCCGTGTTAGTCCAGGATTCTCAACAACGTGATATTGGAAACAGAGGAGAGATCTCTCTTCCCGGTCCGCGCTTTTGCTACTAGTAGCTCGATTTCGGAGTTAGTCGCGCACTCTGTGAACTGATCGTGAAAGTTGCATTTACGCGGTTATTGTATATTTTGTGTATGATGGAGGAGAAAAACAGCTCTGGAAATACTGCAACAGTGGAAAATTCGACGGCAAATCCATCGCCTGCGAAAAAGTTTGCAAAATCGAAGACAAAATCGCAACGTTCTAAATCGTCACATCCACCAACTGCGGATATGGTGAATGCTGCTATCAAGGCCTTGCAAGATAGCAAGGGATCGTCAGTTCAAGCTATCAAGAAATACATAGCAACGACGTATAAAGTTGATGGTGAAAAAATGGCGCCATTTATTAAGAGGTACTTACAAAGTGCCGTAACTGCCGGTGCGGTGGTGCAAACCAAGGATAAAGGTGCCTCTGGCTCGTTCAAGCTATCCACATCTTCGAAGGGTTCCGAATCAAAGAGCAAATCCAAACGCCTCGTGAAACGGGTCGTATCTGCTGCAGCTGAAAAGAAAGCTGCAGAGAAGAAGCCAGCGAGTCCTAAGAAAGCGGCTGCTCCAAAGAAAGCACCCACTGTGAAGAAACCAACCGCGGCAACCTAAAAACAACCTCCTCCTAAAAAAGCTAAAGCTGCTACTGTTAAGAAAGCAGAATCTGTGGAGCAAAAGGCAGCACCACCACCGAAGAATTTGTCGAAAGCGAAGAAAACCACAAAAGCGCCAGCAGCAAAGACGAAAACTCCAAAACCAAAAACAGCAAAGTCGCCGAAAATCGCAAGAGCAGCGGCGAAAAAGTAATTCGTTGAA